TTGATGAAACTTGTACCAACACATATCAAAGCGCTCCCAACTGACCAGTGAATGCTTTTAGGAACCCTATGCCAATGTTACCGAAGCTGCAATTTATGAATGGGAAAATCGATCAGCCATACAAAATCACAATTCTCAATCACAAGATAGCGAACCTATACAGCCGGCGAAACGAAGAAAAACGAGCATTACTGAAGCTTCCGTCTTATCAAAGAAGAGACAGGGACATATTTCTAATAGAGCCGTTGGAGAGAAAGTCGGAACGAAGAACAAGATCCAGGAGATCGAGGATAGTTACGAGGGTCAAGATTCGGGCCCTGGAAATGGTCTTTCAATTGTGATAACTCTCAATAAAGATATAAATCCCAACGAATATACTGTCATCAGGTCATCTCAACTATCAGGTTACTCCAAATCCCCGGAACATCTACAAGCGTCCTCTCCTTTGCAAACCCAAGATTCACCAGATTCTCCCAAAGTATTGCCACGTAGAAGATCAGCTCCGGCGTTTATTTGGGACGAAGATATTAAACCAGATTCTCGATATCTATCTGGTTCTACTCCATACCATCCGTCCATTCCGAGGAGCGCAAGTGACAGTGAAGACCTTCAATCGGTACGACCCGAGACTTCGGACCGAACCCGGAAAGGTATTAGCCGTAGTATTCTTGGAATCACACAACATAACGTTAAGGAGCAACAAAAGGGTTCTAGTAATAAAGTAAATCAAAACGAGTCGTCTTTAAAATCTTCAATTCCGGACAGTTTTCTAATTGACAATTCATCCTCATCGATTGATCAGATTTCCGCCCCACCGGTATCCTTGACACCACATCAGCATCTAAGACTGCAACCCCCCTTAGATCCTGCAGCCAGTGAGGAACCATCTCAACAACCCCCCGTCACGGATCTCTCTCCAGCGTTACATTCTTCGATTCCTAACTCTCAAAACATTTTTGATCAATCATTAGAGGAGGAGGAAGAAGAAGAAGAAGAAGAAGAAGAAGAAGAAGAAGAAGAAGAAGAAGAGCGGGAGACAGATCAATCTGAGACTCGGAATCAATTACAATTACAATCACAATTGTCATTGGAGATACCTGATTCGTATCTTGTGAGCGATACACCTGCCAAAAGGTTAGATTATAATTCCTTGTTCTATAGAATGGTGTTTCGCATCATTCTTCAAGACACTTTCATGCGATCAAAACTTACAACATCATTTTTAGTTCTCAAACCCAAGGTGTGGAAGCGCACATTAGTAGTCAAGACCGTGCTTCTTCTTTGCCTACTGGTCAATCTCAACCCGAAATTGCACTTTCCAATTCTCAACGTTCTCAATCACTTCCCTCAGCCACAAACAATAACTCAAGCTCAGAAGAAACTTGGCAAGCTGCACAAATCGTCACTCAAGTTCCTAGAACTTTATCGCAAGATCCTTTTGGGGGAAATTCACAGTCACAAGGCTCTAAAGACCACGTGCAGGTTGACAATTCCCAAGTCTCGAATCTTGCACCCACAAGTCTGGAGCTTGACCATCACGATCTTGCAAAGTTGAATTCTGTACCAGAGGATCAGCGTGATAACATCAACCGCGTTGCGCGCATTGAATATCCTGAAACGCAACCCCCCGGCTCCGAGCCTTCCGCAGGAGCGCAAGTAATAGAGAGTATCGAGTTCGAAGCAGGTCTCCACAACGCCCAATTACAGTCTCAAGAACCGCTATTCTCTCAATATCTGGCAGACTTAGCTTGGCCTAGCAGTGGTGACTTACCGGCAATAGCGTCGTCTCCCACTAAGATGTCAGCTGCTTCTCATCTTGCCGTTGGCGAGAGGAGAGCGAGGTCAACAAAGTCCAGATCTCCATCGACCTTGCCTCCACGAGTAGCAACTGCACCGCCAACATCCTCATCCAATCTTCCATTGCCCATGCGGGATAACATTGCTGATGTATCGAAGCCGCGCAATAGGGCAACTTCCATGCCAAGAGCTTCAATTGAATGTCCAAGCACGAGTCCCAACGTTTTGACTGTGCGCAAACTGGGACGAAATGAATTCATTATTCCGCTGCCAATGATGAACCAAGTTCGTGAAGTATACGATACCACCATCAAGGATAGGAAAAATGACATTCTATCTTTCTTAGGGGGGTCGCCAACAGCAGCAGATTCAGAAAGCATGGATTTGATGATCGAGGAATTGAAATTGATATGTGATCATCAAGATTTAATAGTGGAGGAGTCTTCGACTCAGAGTCTAGATGATAGTACCCAAGCTAGATACGCTGTAACTATCAGCACTAAGTTCTTGTTTGTCCAACAGTTTCTGGACTCACTTCGATCAACTAAGGTTCATGTGGTGATATTAGCACGAGAGATGATTCTACCCATTCTTGAAGCACTCTTCAGATATAGGGGGTATAATTACAGTCGCCCCGATATATCTGGGGCACCGGAAAAGTCTACAAAGGATTCGATGCAGATCACGCTACTTCCTACGTGGATCGATGTTCGTGATTGCCTTGTCGCTCCTGCTTCCGTGGTCTTGGCATTTGATTCGTCGTTCCCAACCTTCGAAGTAAGAGATGAATATCATCAAATTCTGCCTCTCGACCCCAAAAATCCAGAAAAGCGCGTACCTTTACTATGGCTCGTCACCACAAACTCTGTTGAACACATCGAACTATGCATTCCCACTAGAGGATCATCAAGACGTAAAGATAAGTTAGTCCAATACATCACCCAAACTCGAAAGGTTGTCGGTCGTTTAGATACAACTGTCTATCCTGAGCCACAACAGTCCGCCAGAGCAGCTGCGGAGTACATTCTTGAGGATCCGATGGAAGTTTCCTGGCCCATAGTGCCCATGCCAGATATCGAAATTCCCTTGCCTGGTTATGGAGCCTTCAACTGTCGATCGGATTCATTGACACAATCTTTGTTTTCGCCTACTGAACCAAGAATACAATCCGGTTTCAAGCGACCGTCTGTAAGTACATTCTTGTTTTATTTCATGTCATAGCATGATACTAACTATTTCAGGATTTCGATGTTATAGACGAAGATACTGCGTTCAAGCGCCAGCGACTTACACCCACAAGACAGGGTAGAGAGCTTGATTTGAATACTACGAACGGGAACTTGGTGGAGCTCAACAAAGAACTGAAAATATTACGTAGTCGATGCGAAGATTATGAAGGAAGTATCAAACGAATTCAACCAAAATTCCAGCGAGCCCTTGACGAGAGAGCCCGATTCGAGCACGAAAACGCCCAAGCCGTGAAACGTCTATCCGAGTACGAGAGGAAATTGGAAATACAAGGTAGTGCAGCCGCAAAACTTCGTGAAGAAAACGCATCGTTGAAAATTGAGCTTGCCGTTGCTCAAACCTCTCTTGCCACCTCTGCTGTTCCCTCCGTAGCTGAACTTCAGAAAACGAAAGACGAACTTCGTGATGCACAGGCTGAAATCGAACGTCTCAAGAAAAGTCACGCGAGTGCAGAAAAACGAGCGGATTATGCAGCGTCTCTCTATCAAGAGCACTCCCAACAAACCCACGAAATGCGCAACAAGCTTGAAGCCCTCCAATCCGAACGCAAGGGCCTTCAAAGCGAGGCCTCTGCCGCCCGTGTCGAGATCCAAAAGGTCAATCACGACGGAATCATACAGCAACAACTTGATTCTATCAATGAGCTCAAGAGAGAACTTGCCGAACGAGAACGAATGCTAGAAAGTGTCAGTAGGCAATTGGAATCATACCAGAACGGACGCAGAACAACACGCGGTACAAGTGTTCCAAGAAGTCCGAGAATGAATAACATGAGTCCGAGACCGAGAGTGATAGGCAGCATAGCACCCGGGAGCAATACAGCGAGCAGGGGAAATAGCCCAGTGCCTGGTATTTTTGCTGGTGATCTGTTTCAGGGCGGTGATGCGGGAAGAAGATTTGGCGCTCATTTGCAGTAATGTGGATGGATGATCTGCTCGAGAATAGGTCTTCAAATCCGATTTTAGATTTTAAGCACGAGGTCTATTGTTGATAAGCAGGGCATATTAGGTATTCGTTCAATCGAAGCTTTGTACATGGAGGATACTAGGTTGGGTTGATGATTTGCAGCGCGGCGATGAACTCTGAATTTCGAGCTGAACACACAAATGGGCTGGAGGAAGGAGGTTTGAAAGATATTTACACGTGGCGTCTTCTGCGTTTTTGGGATACTTGATTCCATTTCATTTTGTTTCTTCTATTTGCTTGCGATATGATGGAGCGGGAGGAAATATTGTTTTCGCATATGCGTTTGCGATGCATGTATCGGTAGCTAGAGACGTATGCCAATACATCTTTGGGTTAGTTGGTCAATAAGATAGTTGGGAGGACTGGATATAATGAGCACCTTTCATAATCACAATACTATTACTTACATACCCAAGTTAATTTTCGAAAATGAGAGAAGTATCTGCTAGGGCTTTGCGATATTCTGTGCTGTCGTGGGAAATTTGAGCATGTGCGAGCTCCCAAGCCAGTTACATCGCACGCTTTGAGACTAAAACAAACTCCATATACATTATTTATTCTTTCTATCTACCATCGCAAATTTTTATTATTTGCCGCGAATGTCTATCTAGCCACGCTCGTTTCGCCCCAGCAAGCTGCAGAGATATTATTTTTTCCTCTGATCCTGTACTGAAGACCCAACCATCCAGCCAATTATCCCAGTCCCTATTAATTTTCTTTTCAAAATGCTCTTTTGCCTCCCTATGTATCCGCCGTGCCAACTCCGACCAGCTTAATGCTATCCTTGACTCACATCGCCTTCAAAAACGCCTACCCATCACATTCGAAAGTGATGGAGCAATACAACCCTAAGCAATTGTAGTATGAGATGAGCCGAAAGTTAACATGCAAAAAAGACTCATTGGGTATGCCATAAAAAAAGAATCTTGAACGCCGTTGGCTCCCGAAAAAAGAAACGTTTTATTAGTGTCAGCGGAATCGATAATATTTCAGTGCTTATTCTGAGAAATCATCTTCGCCTCCATAGGATCTCGCCTAAGCAACGATTTATTGTTTACAAATCCTTCCATGACAGAATCCTGAAAGCGCTCTGAGGGCTCCTTTGTTCCCGAGCTAGTCTTTCGTCGCCCGAATTGTGTCATGTCAGGTGTTTTGATTTTTGAACGATCATGTTTTCGCGAACTAGCTACTGGCGGGGAAGGCGGAAATTGTTGAAGCCTTGAGAAACTAACATCAGTCTCATCCAAAAGCATTGGGTCATCGCCAGTCAGATCCATAACGTCCCCATTGAATTTTGACCCTGTCCATTTTGCCAAATTTGAGCCACGCTGCTCTGGCGATAGAGAACGTAATACTGTTCCATTTCGTCTCGGTTTTACATCACTTTCCAATTGTCGAGGTGAATTCATACCAGAACGCGATGGAATTTCTAGACCTTGCACACAGTCATCCTCCCGGGATTCGTGCGCTGGTAAAAGTCCGGAAACTTCGCCTTGTAAGGCTGCCTGGCCCGTCGATTTGCTGAACAAATTGCAAAAATTGCCAACAGCATTAACAGCATTGCCGATCAAACTTGTACCACTTCGAGGTTCTTGCTCAGTCGGTTCCTCGCCCTTATGAGACTCGTCTTTCTCGAGATCAATGACAGAGGGCTTCCTTCGTGGGTATTGGGCTAACAATCGTTGATCCGCACCTTCCTGTGTGGTTTCTTCATCTTCTTGGGAATCACGAATCTCAAGGTGTATAGCAGGCTTGGAAGTATTGGCCACAGTATGAGCAGTTTGGCGAGGTTCTCTGTCACGAACTCTCGACTTAGATCGCTCTTCAATTGGCTTATTATCTATAACATTAACAGATATTGATTCAGGGCCCTCTTGAGAGTTTTCCTGAAGAGTGCCCTGGCTATCACTGATATTGATAACCTCCTTGGCTTTTGGCAACGATTTTAGAGAATCCTTCGCCTCTGTCGAGGTATCTTCATAATCATGACGTTCATTGAGAGTAGAGGTGTTAGCAATGGAGTTTTGTTGAGCAACGATTGACTCAGAGCTAGACGCTGTTTGCGGCTTTGACAGATCAGTCTTCTTAGCAGTCATGAATGGAACATCTTTCCCCTTTTTAGCCTTTTTCGCTGTTCTGATCATTTTGGCTGCATATGCTTCTTGAACTTGCTCCTTCTGAAGTTCAAGGAGAATGTCGCGGATCTTAGTACGAAATGCAGGTGCATCATTCCGATCGCCATCGACTTCGTACTTGTTCTCCATGATATCTTCTATAAAACTATCAGGGCGTTCGAAGAATTCCTCAATGTAGCTTAGCAGGTACACGCCACAATCACAAAAATTGCCTTGAACAGGAAGACCTTTGCCTAAATATCTTCCTGTGGCACTGTCTTTGTCCTGTGTTTTTGCCGCCATACCAATGGGTTTAGGGGGTGTGATTGACATGCTTTTCTTCGCTTTAATTTCGGCGACCATGTAATCTTTTAGATTGCTACAAGTATTGGAGTGTTTCAAAGCGAGTGAATCAAGAGTGATAATTCTAGGCTGCTTTGGGTCATATGTGCGAATTGGAGGAATTCTTTTGCCCTTTGCCACGGAGTTTGACTTTGCCGGTGGCGAGCTCGATTGTGCTAGATCAATCACATTTGTGGCAGACTTTTCTATGGCAGTATCGTCCGGATCCGTTTCCAATGGAGCAGGTGGCAATCCGTGGTTACTGGGTGGGAAACTTCTTGCAGGTTCGAAATCGATCGGAGTTTCGGTTTCCTTACTATGTGCCAATGACAACTCTCCAAAGCTATCGTGGACACCAGTCTCATCCTTATCACTCACAGATCTCATGGGGGTAGACTGTGGTGATTTAGAGGGTGTAGTGAGCTTGCTTGCGCTACGAGACTCCATTTCTCTATCCTGTTCAGATTGCACACCATTTTCGATAGGTTGTGGCGACTGCTTGATCTCCAGGTTGAGAAGTCTGGGTGCGTTGCATATGATCGCCACATACCAATGAGTGTTCTCATTGACGGGAACAATGATATAATCATAAGACAGAAGATCCACTTTCGCTGTCCATCTCTCAACAGCCTCATAATTGATCCCCTTCTTGCCCTTTGCAGCCTTGGTTAAACTTGCGTAAAAAAACGTGTTATGGACATAAACACGAGTAGCCAGCTCGGGATATTGCTGCTCGAGCCAGAGGAGATAGAACATAATGAGATTATCGTTCAAAAACTCTCCATTGTCAAGCCTGTAGATATCTTGCTTATCAACGGTTGCGGTCTTCTTACCGCTCTTAGGATATACCACAGATTTCTCCCAATTCTTTTCCCAGTCCCTATTGACCTCTGACCAACGTTCTGGGCTGGGACTTCTTGCCTCAGAGGTCGGTTTGTATGACTTGGGTCTCTCAGCGCTTCGTAATGAAGCACGCGTTCCATTGGTTTTGCTCGATGATGAATAAAACTCGGCGGGTTCAATTGGATCGGAACTATCATTCTTATTTTGTTGCGAGGGCGGCATCTGCATCTTTTCATGAATTTTTTGCCTCTTTGCTCTTGAGAGATTGTAATGTTGTGCTTGCTGATCGTCATGCCCAAGCAATTGGGTTCGCTGTGCCGTTCGTCTGTCTTGATTTGACAACAAAAGTTGAACGTCTTCGGGCAGGCTTTCGGCTCTGCTTCGTTTGTTGGCTGCTTGGTCATTCCTCTTTTCGAGGGTCTCGCGGGTACGATGAAACCTTTGATCGATTTCAGAACTAAATAATTTATTAGCTTGGGAAATCAACAATGAGGATCAGGGTTACAAACTTTTCCACCCATTTAAATTCATCATCTTTTAGGAATAGCTTCATCGACTCGAGGAAATTTCGAATCTCCAAAAGTCCGGAAAATTCTATGAGTATATCGGCGTCTTTCATGAGACCAGATCCTTGAGGTTTTCGGATGACCAATTTACAAGACTCGCGTCCAATCGTTAGGTATTTGATAGCACTTGCTTTGATAGAGAAATCTAAAATGATCTCCTTATCGTTCACAAGTCTAATCACTTCAGATTTATCCAGAACCAAGCGCTGCTTCTGCATTTTACCTGGCCGAAGCCAATAATGAGTTGGTGAGAAGAGGCTTTCCACCCTGAAAGATTCCATGCGGTCCCGTTGTTGTAACTTTTGATCGTCAGATATATCACTGCCCCATTTCGTCATGTCACCCCTTCTATCACGGCTCGATTCCATGTCGATATCATCCTCACCATCGTTGTAATTGACTTCCGGGTTCTGCCGTGATTTATTGGTCCGCTTTACATGCGGTACCTCGGGTGGGTTTCCTTGCGAGAGCTCATCCTCACTGCCGTCCTCTAGTTTCATCTCTCCCAATACACGTCTCTTTTGTACAGAATTGGATGGAATGCGCCTTTCGAGTTGCGAATTTGAGACGTACGACGATTTATGGAGCTCGCTTGCTCTCGAACGTGGAGCTTGGTGTGCGGTTGCGAGGTGTGAATTGCCACTAGACGGAATTACAACACGAGGAAAGGGTTTCGAGGCAGAGTGTGGAGCCTGCAGCTCATCTTCTTCATTCGATATCGGGTCTCTGATGTCCTCCAGATGTGAATTGTTTGTAAGTCTCTTAGCGTTGGTGGTCTGTTGTGCTTTGAAAGCAGCATTTCCGTGAGTATGACCCTGGCTTTCTGAATGGTGGTCAGAGTTAACTTTATGCCTCTTGCGCTTCTCCTTTCGCGGCTTCACTAAGTCATTGACCGCTTGGTATTCAGCTACGGTGTACGGTTCAAAAGACACTTTTGAGCGAATGACATTTTCTTGGTGAGGCGAGCTATTGTACTGACTCTGTATAGGTATCTGGCTCACAGGTCCCTGACCCTGATTTGCTTCATGCTCAAACTGATTTAGCCCGCCGCCTGTCCCATTGCTTAGAAGTGCTTGCTCTGTTTTTTGCTTCTTGTTTGGTCGTTCAGATTGAAGATTGAAGGGCTCGATTGGCCGGGTGTGTGGATATGAAGGAGTATTTTGTGCATTTCCCAGCCTGTTCACAGGTCTTTTGCCTCCATGTAAAGCAGGTCTGGCCTTTTGAATGTCAGCTAGAGGGCATTGTATTGGCAGTGTGCCAGAACATACCATCTTTGCACCGGTCTCTTTGAATGCTTTGGAAGATTGGGCCGTTGGAGAACTGCAGAATTTCCCCGTTAGTAAAAGGACGAACACTAGACGGACTGCAGAGGAAGTATTATACATTCGTGTGCTGGTATTTTTCCAGTAGCGATTTGCAAACCCCCTATATATTTGGTTAGCACATACTCAATTTGAAGTGCATTCGTCTGCCAAAGTCATCATACCACTTGACCGGCTGCACAATCTTGCTTGAGTCCGTATCTCCTTCCTTTGGCGCATCATCAACCAAAGTTATTGGACTTCAAGGATTAGTTATGCGCTAGAATAAAAAAGTGTGTGACTTATGAATTTTTCAAAGTAAGCATACCTGTGATCGTCTAGGCCATCAAAATCATTGATGTGTTGAAATACCGGCTTCTCGTTATTTACATTACATATTTCGATGTTCGCAAGATTGGAAACTTTTTGGAAGTGGATGTTCTGCAGGCGGGCGCGCATCAAATGTTAGCTAAAAGCAGCGGGGCTAGCCGAGAGATTTCAATGATAGTCAGATAGCTGGAGCACATAGATAGCACACAGCCTTGGAGCCGAAATGCGATAAGATCATGGCAAAAAGAAGACGACATAAGAAGGGAAAAAAACGTACAATTGTCTCTGGCTCTTCCAAGTCATCTATATGGGAGATGGAAGTATTTGATACCAATTTTGACTCCAAGCTTTTTTGCTGAAACCCTTTGTCTATCCCAACTTCATAGTGTCCATCTGTCTCGGAAATATGTTGAAGATTCATTCGGGGGTGATGGATTTTTGAAACCGTTGATTTCGAGCTGATAGATTCAATAGCATCGATGAATGATGATCTCGCAAGTGATATTTGCACTCCTTCACTGTTACGCTTTTCAAAGATACAATGTTGCTGACGTGCCCGGTGGGTGTTGTTGTTGGTAGTGAAGACTTTTGCGGTTGTTTCGAGAGGTTGAATATCCTCATGATTTATCGAGGTTCTGGTAATAATCAAGGCTCGCTTCTGAGTGGTTGATTTTGTTTTTGAAGTTACTTCGGCGTCATCAGATTCCGAACCATCCATGACCACAAGATTTAACGCCTTGTTCTTCGAGGGTGGTGCTTCGTAATGTTCAAGAATACCATCTATTTCATCCGCGTCTGAGCTTGGAGTTGAGATGGTGCTGTTGTTTGATTCTTCAGAACTTCTTGATCTGTTACCATCCTGGAATTTCCTCCATACCAGCGGCCTGAGAATGGAATCCATGCTGCTCAAAGGCCGTCGTTCACTTCCTATTTGTTGATTTTCTCTTGGATTCCTTGGACAAGTTGTTCTCTTTAAAGGAAATTTGTTAGCGATGAGCCCATGCTCTTTGGAGTTGGAAGGAGATGCACCTTATCCTTCTGCATATATTGCAAAAATAAAATTGGTCGTCACTCAAGGTATTGACTTGACAATGATATTCTCTCCAATGGCTTGTTGTCTCTCTGGGGACTTTGGGAGGGAAAGTGCAGTTTTTGTTCTCGCAAACCTTTGAAGTGGAAGGTTGTAAGGTAAAGGAAGGTGAGAACAACACACGCTGTCGCAAAGGACCGACGTCTCGAGATAGACAGAAAGTTGAAATGAAGACCTTACAGGCAATTTCTTGAAAAGATTTTCTATTCTAGAAGCCGAATAGCTTGCGAATGCGTAGTTCTCTGGGACCGTCAAAAGGTACTCGAGAAGCAAAACGGCTGGAAATGTTGACTTGTCGCAAACCACGATATTTCTGAAGATTGTGAATTTGAAGATTTGGAGATCAAGCAATTGAGAATGGCAGCAAACCCTTCGCGTAATGGAATATTGACAGTGAATACTTGCTGTCACTCGACCAACCACCGACCGTCTTTTGAATAAACAGTCCAGATGGGAACATAATCGAGCACTTCTTATCTTCAATCTGATATTCACTTTAAAAAAGATGCTTTGTCTATTTACACAGAATCTACCGTAGCGCAATCAAACGCAGTTCCTGGTAATCAATAGAAATCACCCAGCTGCACAATCTACTAAAGAGTTTTGCAGTACTGTAACTGAGGCTAATTGCACTTCTTGTATCATATGCACATTACGCGTAAGGGAAGAGATATAAAGACAATGCACCATAGGTCAATGCAAGTTCACGAAATGTGTATCGAAAGCATACAAGTTAGCCAGCAGAGACTAGTTGATCTTAACACATAACTACTAACCAACAAGAGCACATTTAGATCGAATCCTCCAACTTGAAAATGAGAATTCTAAAATACGTCATGATATATCAGAATATTTATGCATCGAGCCTTTGATATTGTTTTGCTTGACCTGGCTAACAATGTATCTACACCAACCCTGAATCAAATCCCCCATGGACATCCGTAGGAATCTTTGAAGTCTGACTATTTCAAATAAGAAAGTCACCTTAGCATATTTCAATCTTCGAGGAGTTCAAGACCATCTTGAACTTATAGTCCAACCTTCCATAAGTTTAGGGCTGCCTTAACCTTAAAACTTATGACCCGAGCCGAAACGGTATCTGCACAATGGCGTGAATTGAAATTTTTTCGACAGCCCTGACGTTGAAGCTCCCTAATCCCCACCCCCAATCCTCAGTCGCCGTCTAATCCAGAGTTATTTCCATAGGGCTGTAGGCTGGTGTTAGTAACAAATATCAAAATCCTCCTTGTCACTGAATACGATGGCAATTGACAGGTCTTCTCCAAACTGGTGGGTGGTGGATTTTGATTCTTAATACAGCTGTACAGATGAGAAAAGTCGCAATCCAGAGTCATGAAGCACTCTGTCCATCTATCCTCAGTATCATTTCCCCTCCATCTACAAAAGCTCTTCCCTCCTTCACCATTATCATCATCTATTTAGACTCTGGGTAGAGGTCCTCCTTCAAGCTCACACCTAATTCCTCACGGAGAGGCTTAAGTTCCTCCAAATATTGGTCGTATTGGCCACGGTTCTCGACCTTTGCCTTGATACCTATGTATGATGATGTCAGCCCTATACCCCTCCTCAACTATGCCTAGTATCCACCCCACTTGCGAAATGCAAAACAAACAGTACGTACCCTCAAAGATTCGTACGGCTGTAGGGTAATCGTTAACTCTTCTTGCGGCTTTCAATGCAGCAACGACGACGGATGGGGAAGGTACGAGATCGTAGGCAAAAGCGTTGTTGAGGTTTCTCTATACAACAAAGATCATACGATATTTAGCACTCTGTAGATATACGTGTAGAGAACGTGGGGAAGAAAGAAAGTAATGAGGACTGCACATACCTGGAGCTCGAAAACATCTTGAACTTGCTCGAATTCCTTCTCATATCTATCCGGTCATTAGCCAACCTTGGTACTGCATATTGATCTCCCTTCGGTTGGTTTCGGTTGTGTGGGAAACATGCTCAAACGCGAGCAATATGCCCCTCCAATTGAAGCCCGACATACCTAGCTGTGAATTCCTCGAAGCTCTCCTCGTGGTGACCAGCTTCTTGCCCGTCCTTATCGGCAGACAAACTACGGCTGGTGGTGCTGAAAGAGCTGGCAGAAGTTGCGCTCATTGTTGGGGCAGCACGGGGAGTGAAGCTTCGGAGTCCATTAGATCTGAAAATAGCCGATGGCTGCGCGCGCGTAGCAATACGCAGAATTCTAGTTGACGACATTAGGAAAAGCTGTTGTGGTGAAGTTATTCGGTATTCGTGGACTTTCGACGGGTTTGAAGTCAAAATTGCACAGTTTCGACAATTTCCAGACCAAGTCAATCCATGTGCTGTGATTGGTTATGAATATTGCTTAGTCATAGTCTCAGCACCCGAGGCCTTGAATAATGTTGATGTCAGGTCATTTCATCTTTCGAGTATCCCACCTCTGCTTACCTGTTATGTTTATGGTATATTGCTGCTCTTTCTAATATTCCATCTTACATGATATTCGGTTTTCAAAGTGATTGATTCGGATTCATAGGAACCATCATAAGCTTAATATATAAGTCAATGGCACTTCTCGGGAATTCGCCGCATGAGTGACAGATTTGACAGATTGACTAGACAATATCCTGGAGTTTGTGGCTGGATTGCCGGCTTAAAGGTCGTCGTCTTCGTTTTTGTCATGAGACAGTACGGCTTTTTCCTTTCTCGAACCAGTACCCGGTGTTTACTTCAATGGCATTTTTGGAACATATTCTCAAGTATCGAGGCTATTCCCGAATATCCCGGTGCGTCTCCCATCTAGGATAATATAAATACGTGATCTTTCAATACAAACTACTTCGTCTCCTCCATTGACAAGATGTTGAAACCTTTAACCGGCTACTATGATGAACAGTAGATAAACTACAGTACATAGCTTCCTGACGAACCGAGGTCACCGTCAACATACTCTCTATAGTTTTTTTGGTGCCAAGAGTGCGAATATCGTTTACGAGCTCAAGCTCCATAGCACTCCGAGCATCTCCACACAACGGAACACAAGGCGGCTTGACCGATTAGCATGGAGTCTGTATCGGTGAATAATTGAAGTGTGTGGTGAATACCTAGGTAGTGACTCGTAATCGGTGATTCTCGAGCTCTTGGACTATCTGAAGCAGCTTCTACAAAGTTTCTCAGCCCTCGTCCTTCCCAGGTAACAGAGACTAACAGGTTCAGAGCAAAACACTCGTGAGTCGTGATGGCTTTCTGCTAATCTCAATTTCTAATGCTGTATGTTATTAGCTCAACTCCTCTCAGGGTTTCTAGGAGCGTGTTAACTCGCTAGAGAAAGGGTTGGGGATATCAAGGTTTGCTTGAGCCGCATCAACTGCCACATATGTGCGATTTTAACGAGATTACAGATAAATAGACAATGAAGAATCAATTAGATTCCCTTTTTTTTGGTGATTTTAAACACAGGGTAACCTAGGTGATTGCATTCATGTTATGGTACTATTTTAAACTGTCTACAATAAATTGTTGTTCTAGCTACTCGCTATGTATATGTCTACTCTCTAGCCGGCCAACTAACATCACCACATGTCACTTTCTGTTGGTCTAATCTGTAGCCGCAACCATGTATCCTCACTCGGGCACGCAATATCATCAAAAATGCCATATGACAGATGGAAGCTTCCACGGAGTCAATCAAGTGTCCACCCCTTGTTCTTGAATCCTCAGGTCAACTGTCAAAGTTTTCAACGGCTCTTATACGCGGATGAAAATCCAAGCATGAAATTACCAAAACGTTGTTGTTAACATGAATTGGAATTCCTCAGCCAGTAACAAGTGATTATATATTCCCACCCGTGTAGCTTTTGACAATTCTAGAAGAACCATTGGTTACAGCCAAATGCTTGGAAAAGTCGGTGATGAAATGATACGTAGGAAGAAGCATGTAGCATGTGAAATTGTTCCAAATCCAATCTCGGTAATGTCTCCCCGTTCCCGACCCCTTTAAGAAAAAAAGTGAACTAGTTGACAGTTCTTCATCTTTTTTGGCAGGAACACATCAAAAAGGAAACTTTTTCTTTCTCTTCACTTCCCTTTACCTCAATCTCACGAAAGTTCCCATTTCTCGTCAAGAAGCTCTTTTTCTAGAATTGTTTTCTCAAGATCCTTTTGACCCTTTTCCCCCAAATTCTTGTGCATCGTTATTCTTCCCATTAGACTACCGGGGATTCTCCTAAAGGATATTAATTTATTCACTTCTATTCCCTTCATTCGTCATTCATTCATTCATTGGGTTTTTTAATACTTTTATGTCTTGAATTCATCCAGAGAGACTCAATCTTTCGTTGTCATCATCTTGATTGAAGAAAGATTGTTGTTTATAAGTTGCCTTTTCGCGTTGTAAATAACTTCTCGCTCTAGCGAATTTCCACTTCTTCGAAAAGAACACGCGACATCTCAAGAGCATTGTCGCACATTCAACCAAGGTCAACAATACATCCATCACAATCGCAGTTTTGTCGTTATGTCGTCAAGTGGATTAGATATGAAGGCATTCCCCTTCCCAACAATTGACAAGCCATTCGGTGTGGAATTATGGCCAATCTTCGATAAAGTATTCACCGCGGTGAAAGGCTACCATCCTCAAGACTTCGATTTCCAACCACGAGTTACACCTATGTCAACATTGAAGGAGAGTGGCTTCACAATTCTGGCATACTATGTCATAATATTCGGTGGAAGGGAGTTAATGCGAAATCGACCAGCCTTCAAACTGAATGGTCCTTTCATGATTCACAACTTTTACCTTACAGCTATCAGCGCCATCCTTTTGGCACTCTTTGTTGAGCAATTGGTACCCACAGTTTACAACCATGGTCTTTTCTATGCCATCTGCGACGTCAGAGGTGGTTGGACTTCTCCCTTGGTTATTCTCTACTATGTAAGTTCTATCAGGGACGAGATCGGATTAATGATTGTGCGGCTAACGGATTAGCTCAATTACCTCACAAAATACCTCGAATTGATTGACACCGTCTTCCTCGTCTTGAAGAAAAAGCCATTAAGTACGTAGCCGCAGCTTTGCGATCCATTCCTTGTATAAATGCTAATATTTTGTGCAAAGCTTTCCTTCATTGCTATCACCATGGTGCCACTGCTCTCTTGTGTTACACTCAACTTATTGGATTGACTTCTGTGTCATGGGTCCCAATTACCCTCAACCTCATGGTTCACGTTGTTATGTACTGGTACTATTTCCAGAGCGCGCGTGGAATTCGCATTTGGTGGAAGGAATGGATCACCAGACTCCAGATTATTCAGTTTGTCATCGATCTTGGTAAGGCTGCACAAATCCCCAATCAGCCCCATATTACATTTTTCAGCTTGCTAACAGACTCTTCACTTTACAGGCTTCGTTTACTTTGCATCCTACACCTACTTCACATCCACTTACTTCCCCAACATGCCAAGCGCAGGTCACTGTGCTGGTGAAGAATTTGCAGCTTTCGCTGGTATGGGTATTCTCAGCTCTTACCTTTTGCTCTTCATCTCCTTCTACTTCGCAACCTACAAGAAAGATGGAAAGCGCCCCACGGGTCGCAAGGCTGCTCGTTCCTTGGTCGATGCCAAAGTTCCTGATGTCGCCACACTTACACACGGAAAGATCAATGCAAGCCCTGTAAATGCTCGTGCAACAGGCGTAAGCCCAGCTCGTCCAGCGACCCGCTCCCGCAAGGCATAAATCTGCACTTCGGGATACGACTCTACACAATCGGTACGACCGCGGCAGTCGATCCGATTATGCGATAAATGATAATGGATAGTCAACTCGCAGCCTCTTTCGAAGCGAGTGCACAAACTTCTTTGAGAAACAAAAATTTCTCCTTGTATATTGGTTTTTTTTAGGGGTGGCACGACACAGAGTGAGACGTGGCGTCGCTTCTACAACTTTTTATCTGTGTTATGGACAGAAATACACATAAGTAATGAATGCCATTGCCAAGCAAATAAAATGATGGGTGGCTTGGGCGGACCTAGAAAAAGAACAATTGAGATTTCAACAACCCTATTTTAAAACTTAGTACTTCCTTCTTAATATTCGTTTCTTGTACGTTGTAGGGCAATATGGTTGTTGGTTGTCATTCAATGAGTTAAGATATTGGCGTGTGGGTGTGGTGATATGGGAAAATGAAGTGAACGATAGCATAATAGACAGACGAAAATTTCATGAACCATTTACTTGTGCATGGGTGTGCTTATCATTTGCAGTTTGTGATTTTGAATTTGTTAATGGTCATTGAAGGTGGTGAATATGGGAACACAGTGAGAGTGAGGGGAGGGCATGAGATTCAAGCCTCGAGGTAGTTAGTTGACTTGGCTTGGAGGAGGTTAGCATGTGGTGTGTACGTGGTGTGGAGAAGTTGCAGAGCTAGCTGTAGGTTTTAACACCTATTTTCTAGGTATGATGTGATACGTGTTTGTTAAGCTTGAGTTTTCTCAGTGTTTCTGATGTGTGTCTTAACTTGAGATATAGACGGTGATGGGCCAGGAATGGGAGTGAGCGAGGAGGTACGCATATGCATAGCTTGAGTGAAGTTTGTCCTGGCCTGTGGGCGATGTATAGGATTTGTATAATGTATACAGATTGGGAAGGGGGGATTTTTGGGAATGGGGATAAGTGTTATTGTGGTATTTTGAATGTGAGAGGGGGAGAAGGTGAGATGTATTTGGATGTATTTGGATGTTCTGATGAGAGGATTGGTACGTTGATGAGTTGATGATCTTGTGATTGAGAAGAGTCGAATATTCAAAATTCAAAATTCAACACATGTGAGGAAATCCAAATCTTCAAATACTAGGCATGCATTCTTTCATAGATATGGTATATCGTGATCAGATGTTTGCAACTGTTTCTAGTCTATTAGGAAATTCTCGTGTGCTAGAGGGGATGTTGATATGAGTAGGTGGTAGGTAGGTATAAGGAGACTAGAGAATAGAGAATAGAGAACACGGAATGATGCTCCAGGGAGACTGTTTTGGAGAGAGGCTATTTTCGGTTGGGGAAGTATTCGGAAGTGATTGTGGGAGGGGACTGAGGGGAGTATCTATAGATGTATTTTTGGAGGGAAAATAAATTAACAATTGGGGATGTTTTCTAGATTGGGGTGGGTGGGAATTTGAATTGTAGAGGATGGAGAGTTTGAGGATAGAAAGGTCGTGGACAGAGCGCTTTACGCGGTATTGGTGGTTGTTGTTGTTGTTGTTGTCGTTCTTGTTATGATATGCAGTGGTTGAGCGGCTGATTTGATGATGTACGGATTTGTGGGTGTATAGTATGGGGAATGTGAAAGCGGGAAGGGGAAGAGCTGG